CCCTGCCCTCCCGTTCAGCCTCCCTTCCCACCGCACCCCAGCCCAGCACTGCCCCCCACGGCCATCTCCCCTTCACCTGCTCCCGTTCATCCTGGCCCCCGGCCACGGCCATCTCCCCCCCCATCCTGCTGCCCCCCCGGCATCTCTCCTCCCCCACCTGCTCCTCCTGGTGCTGCTGGACGAGGCGGACGATCTCCCGCTGCTCGGGCGGTTCTAGCTTCTTGACGAAGAAGAGCAGCTCCCACCACTCGGCTCGGCTCAGGGCCCCGCCCTCCTCGCAGCCCCGCTCCGTCAGGTAGGGCAGGGAGTACAGCCCCCCCTGGGGCTTGCAGTAAAACGTCTGGCTCACTGCGGGGGCAGAGCAAGGAGAGAGCCTGTCACCGCCCCGAGCGCCCCAGGGGAGAGCTGGCCTGGGCCAGGCAGGCAGCCGAGGGAACCCTGGGAGCAAGCAGCAAACTCTCCTCCCCGGCAAGGCAGTGACTGAAAGGCACGGGCGGTGCCACGCGAGTCGCAGAAACCATCGGAATTAGACGTGTCGGGGGTCACTGCAAGGGGCGGCGGCTGGGGGGCTCTGTCCCACCAGCTCCCAGCTCCGTGGCCTCTGGTCGGTGGGCATTTGGACACACAGGGCCGGCTGGGAACCAGCGGGAAGCCCTTTCCCCAGGCGGCGGTACCACACGTGGCCAGTCTAGAGACACGCAAGCCGACAGCGGTCGAGAGCCCCTGCTGTTCGCTGCACTGCCGTGCAGGGATCTGTCAGCGGCCCTTGGCCCCGCGGATGCATCGCCTGCGTCACGCAAGGGACTCGCCTCGCGGCTAACCCCAGGTGAGTCCGTCCTGCCACGTTTCTTCATTGGCCACGCCCGGTCTCTGCCAAGCCTGCACGCGCATCCTCGCCCAGAGAAACAGCCCGAAAGCGCCAGGCCTGGGGAGATGCTGTCAGCAGTCACCGGCACGTCTCGTACGGGACTCAGGGGCTGCTTCTGGCTGGGCCAGGGATATCCCGTCGGGCTGGGCCGGCGCCGGTTTGGTTCTCATCTGGGGCTATTCTCCAGGCTCTGCCCGTGAGCATCCGATCCCTGAGGGACTGAGTCGGCACCCGTCATTTCACACACGGCGGGCGTAATCCCTCCATCCCCCGAGGCCCAGCCATTCCCAATACGGGGGGTAGTCTGGCACACACCCTACTGGCCTACTTGAGAGCGCAGCCCAAGCGTGTATTGTCGTAGCGGGTGCATAACGGGAGCGTGACGCACGATGCTTTGGCCGACGGCGATTTGCTCGCAAGGTCTGCAGGCTTCTATCTCGCTTTTTCCCGCGCTGATGCTGCCTGCTTTGCGAACGCAGCTGGGCCTTGGCGTAAGGCTGCCCTCCTCTGTGGGGCGGGGAGCGACGAGCGGGGGAGAAGGGCCTCCGGGAGGTCCGGACGACTTGAGGCACTTGGAGATGAGGCGGGAACATCCCTGGTGCCTGAGGCTGGCTGAAGAACTGAGCAGAATGGCCCAGCTCTGGAGCCACGCAGGGGAGACACAAAGCAAAGCTGAGAAGCTGAACAAGAGCCACCAAGGAATAAGCTGGGAACCGGAGGCGACCTTGGAAGGGGACGTGACGGCAACCAGACGCTGCAGCACCTAGACTCCAACGGGAACTTCCCTGTCTGAGGAGGGGAGCTGTGGCCATTAAACTCAGAGGAACCCGACTCCTCCCTCAGCCAGCCTGGCCTGGCCAGCGAGACGACTGGGGCCACGACTGATGGTAACTATGTGCTATCTGCAGGGCCGCTGGGCGGGGGCTTGTCTTCAGGCTGCGGGCGCCAGCTGCTTCTCTACGGCATTCTCAAGGAATGCCTTTCCCCTCAGAAGGCATCTTGCCTTTCCCCTCAGAAAGATCCCGGGTGCGTCTCATCAGCACAAGGGCAGCAGGTCTGAACGTGCCCTGAGTCGGGGGCGTTAGTCTCTGCTTGCTTCTTGGAACACACCCGCACGTGGCTCAGCAAGCGATGGACTTCGCCCGGGACGCTCCGGATTTGGGCCTTCGGCGGGAACAGCGTCAACGGCCCAAGCAGCTTCTGCGCGAGGCGAGTCTTCCCCAGTTGTCCGCGGGTCTTCCCGGCCAATCTTCCAGTAGCTGCAAGGGAGCGGAAACGGGCCCAGGCGGCGGCTTGACGGGTTGGAAGGCTTTGTGCGCGTCATGGCCCAAGTACCCACCTGCCTGGCCTCCTGGGTTCTCTCCCCACTGAGACGCCTCTCGGCATGTTCTCAATAGGCGCCGATCCATCATCTGCCGGGCCTGCCAAATCCACAGCCACAAGCGCATCCCGGACCGTGTCCCCTGCCTGTGCTTTGCCCCAGTCCTACAGATCTCGTGGGGGGGACCAACTGTAGGGGCGGAGCCTGCGGGAAGGCCAATCAGAGAGGGGCGTGCAGGGCGCAATCGAGGGCAGCTCGCCGGAGCCCTGTTCCAAGACGCTGCTCAGCAGAGCAGGGGGTCCTGGGGAAGAGTGAAGAGGAGCAGAGCTGCGCAGGCTCACCCTGCCTGTGCTTTGCCCCAGTCCTACAGATCTCGTGGGGGGGACCAACTGTAGGGGCGGAGCCTGCGGGAAGGCCAATCAGAGAGGGGCGTGCAGGGCGCAATCGAGGGCAGCTCGCCGGAGCCCTGTTCCAAGACGCTGCTCAGCAGAGCAGGGGGTCCTGGGGAAGAGTGAAGAGGAGCAGAGCTGCGCAGGCTCAGGGGAGCTGGACAGAAGCCCCAGCCGGATACCTGCCCGGGTGCGGCCCTGCCGAAGGGCTGAGAAGGTGCTGGGGTCGCGGGGCAGCTTGCCCTGAGGCAGAGCTGGACTGAGGACGGCTGATGCCCAGAAGGGGTGGGCGCTGCCAGGGGCATGTCCTGAGCAGGATGCCATGAACAGAATGACATCAGGCAAGACACTGGCCAGAAGGCAGCACAGTCTAACGGACACAGCAAATTCCCAGTGTGACCAGCAGGAGGTGCCGCAGGAGTGAGTCAACCCCGTGGGGCCATTTCTCAGATTGGCGGTCCTGACTCAAAAGGGAGTTGCGGGGAAGGGGGGCACCAGGCTGTTTGAGGGGGGCTGCCCTTACTTCTGCTCCTGACGATCAGGGGCCAGCACAGAAATCAGGGTGGCAATACCTTGCCATGCCATCTCCTGGAGGCAGTCCTGGGCTCCTGGCCTGCAGCCAACGCATGCCAGCTGCCCCGCTCGGAAGGCGCCCCCACTGCCAGCAGCCCCCCCTACAAGAACCTTGTAACCCCCCAACTCCGTTTGGGGTCAGGACCCTCCAAGGACACCACCACGGCATCTCAGATTTCCAGTCTTCCCAACCCAGGGACGGTGGAACTGACCACCAGGCTGTGAATGTCCCCCAGTCGTAGGGGAACGGGCTGCCAGTGCGAGCAGGCTCATCCTGCAGATTTACAACGGCCCTTTCTTCACCCCTCCCAGCCAGCGGCTGAATCCGGACGGTGCCTGGGGACCAGCCTCACCTACCCACCTACCCACAAACCGATGGAGGTCGGGAGGTGTCGGGAAAGAGCATC